ATCTACGTAGGAAGTGCAGGACAGGTTATTGGTTATTGTCACTCCGAGGAACTTCTCCCTTCTTTCTGAAGTTGAAGATCAGTTCTTTAGTTTTGCAGACGTTGAAAGACAGATTGTTTTCATTGCACCACGTCACCAAGAGGTCTGTCCCCCTTCTGTATTTTGACTCGTTGTTGTTAGATATGCGTCCCAGTTAAGTGATGTCATCAGTGAACTCGTAGATGGCGTTTGTTTGGAATTTGGCAACACAGTTGTAGGTGTACAGGGAGTACAGTAGGGGGCTGAGGCTGCATCCCTGGTCGGGGCGGGTTGGGGGGTGCTGCAGTGTTGAGTGTTATTGTGGAGGAGGTGCAGTTGCCTATCCTCACTGATTGCGGTCTGTGGGTCAGAAAGCTGAGGATTCAGTTGCAGAGGGTGGAGCTGAGACTAAGGTCAATGACGTGGTGCAATGAGAACAACTTCCCTCCTAACGTTGGCAAAACTAAAGAACTGATCATTGAGTTCAGAAAGTAAGGAAGAGAACACGCCCCCATCTACATCAATGGAATGGAGGTTGAGAGAGTGGACAGCGTCAAGTTTCTCTCAGTGACAATAACCAACAACCTGTCCTAGACCTTTCAGAAGAGCTGTTAGGAAGCATTTCTACACACAAAGGGTGGTAAGTGCCTGGAACTCTCTTCCACACATGTAATGGATGCAGGATTAATTGTTACGTTTAAATCTGAGCTAGATACATCTTTGTCAAACATAGGTATTTCAGGATATGGGCCAAAGGTAGATATATGGAGTTCGGCCACACATCAGCCATGATCTCATTATATGGCTCATGAACAGAATCGCAAACAACAGAACCTCCCTATTTGACAAGCTCAACGCATTCCACGATCGATTTAAACAGAGGGTCGGTGAAACCATGTCACCCAACCCAACAGCCCCGGGTGCACCTGTACCCACAGTCAACACTGCAGATGTTAGACTGGCCTTCTTGAGAGTGAACCCATGGAAAGTGACTGGCCCAGTTGGAGTCCTTGGCCGTGCACTCAGATCCTGTGTGGATCAGCTCCTGGGAGTATTCACAGATATCCTTAACCTCCCCTTACTATGATCTGAGGTTTCCACCTGCTTCACAAAGACCACCATCATCCTGGTGCCAAAGAAAAACCATGTCATGTGCCTCAATAACTACCACCCAGTGGCTCTGACTGTGATAATTAGGAAGTGCTTTGAGAGGTTAATCATGGCCCACATCAACTCCAGTCTCCCAAACTGAGTAGATCCTTTGCAATTTGCCTACCGGCACAACAGGTCCATGGTAGACGCCATTTCCCTGGCCCTACACTCATCCCTGGAATGTGTGGATAACAAGGATACGTATGCCAGCCCCCTAATTATTGACTACAGCTCCGCCTTCAGCACCATAATTTGAAACAAACTATCTCTAAACTCTGAGGCCAAGGTCCTGACTCCCCCCCAACTTCTGTAATGGATTATTGACCCCCTGCCCCACAGACTGCAATCAGTAAGAATAGGCAACATTTTCTCCACCATAATCCTCCACACTGGTGCCCCCCAATGCTGCATAGTCAACCCCCTACTATACTCCTCATAGACTCACAACTGTGTGGGCAAATTCCACCCCAACTCCATTTACCAAATTTGCTAATGACACCACCGTTGTAGGTTGGATCTCAAACAATGACGAGACGGAGTACACGAAAGTGATTGAGTGTTTAGCGACATAGCGTAAAGACAACAATCTCTCCATCAATGTCAGTAAAATGAAGGAGCCGGTCATAGACTTCAGGACTTGGAGTGGAGAGCACGCCCCAGTCTGTATCAATGGGGCTGAGGTGGAGAGGGTCGAGAGCGTCAAGTTCCTGGGCGTGACGATCACCAACAATCTGTCCTGTTCCATCCACGTTGACGTGAGAAAGTCAAGAAAGCACAACAACGCCTCTACATCCTCAGGAGGCTAAGGAAATTCGGCATGTCCACACAGACTCTGACCAATTTTTATAGATGCAACATAGAAATCATCCTATCCAGATGCATCACTGTTTGGTACGGCAGCTGCTCTTCCGTAGACCACAAGAAACTACAGAGAGTTGTGAACACAGCCCAGTCCATCACACAAACCAGCCTCCCATCCACAGACTCCATCTACACCTCCCACTGCCTCGGGAAAGCATCCAACATCATCCAAAACCCCTCCTACCCCAGCTATACTCTTTTCCACCCTCTTCCATCAGACAGAAGGTATAAAAGTTTGAAAACACGTACCAACAGATTCATGAACAGCTTCTTCTCTGCTGTTATCAGACTTTTGAATGAACCTCTCAAATATTCATTCCGATCTCTCTCTCTGCACCTTCTCTGTGACTGTAACACTGTATTCTGCACTTTGTTCTGCTACCCTGATGCAATTTGTATGGTACAATCTGCTTGTAGAGCACGCAAAACAACAACTTTCACTGTATCTTCGTACATGTGACAACAATGAATCAAACTCAAACTCAAAAACCCAAATAGCAGAACAAGTTCAAGGGGCTGAACGGCCTACTCCATTTTTGTCCATCTTAAATTCTGAGATTAAACACTGTCTGGTCGTAGACTCTCCCATGAAAGGAAATGACCTCTTTGCATCTCTGTCAAGTCTGCAAAGTGTGCATCACCCTCAAAAAGCCAGGATGAATCCATGACTGAAGAGAGGCTGTGATGAATCAATGCTGATCCTCAACCTCTCTGCCCTTGTTCATGACCACAGCCGCTCTTTTCTGTCCAAGGCCCTTGAGCAAGTTACAAAAGCAAAATACTGCAGACACCAGAACCCTGAATGAAAAACAGAAAATGCTGGAAATACTCAGCAACTCTGGCAGCACGCAAAGAGAAACTGAGTTAACATTCAGGAATGAGAAACTTCAGTTATGTGGATAGATTGGAGAAGTTGAGACTGTTCTCCCTAGAGAGAGGGAGGCAAGAGCAAACCTGATAGAGGTTTCCAAAAACATGAGTGGGCAGGATACAGTAGATTAGGAGAAGCTGTTCCCGATTGTGAAAGGAAAATGAATAAGAAGGTATAGATTTAGTGTGATGTGCAAATGAAGCAAGGGTGACTTGAGGGAAAAAAGTATCTTTTAACACAGGGTATGGAATGCACTGCCTGGAAATGCGGTGGAGGCAGGTTCAACTGAGGTATTCATGGAAGCATTGGGTGGTTATTTGGATAGAAATAGTGTGCAAGGATATGAGGGAAAGGCAGGAAAGTGAAGTTGAGCATTATCAGATCAGCCATGATCTCACTGAATGGTAGAACAGATTCAAGGGGCTGAACGGCCTATTTACGTTCCTCTGTGTTAAGTTCTTAAAAGTTAGGTTGGGTGGTTGGGGATGTGCAGGGGCTGAATCTGTGGCTGAAGAGAGGTTGTGATGAATTAATACTTTGTTAGATACCTGCTTGTGTTCTGCTGCATGTTACTATTAACTTTAGAGATAGTTATGATAGGTTTTCAAAGCATCCAGCTACAGGTATCTCAAAAAGAAATATTTATTTACAGAGATAGTAGGAACTGCAGATGCTGGAGAATCTGAGATAACAAGGTGTAGAAGCTGGATGAACACAGCATCAGAGCAGGAGAGCTGACGTTTCGGGCCTAGACCCTATTTACAGAGGTGGTTTCACATAATTTCTGCAACCAGAAGTCATCCTATTCACTCTATAAGATAAATATGTTTTTCTTCCAGTTGTCTTGCATTGGATAAGATTAAGGTATAAAAGAAAATTTTTGTGGGGTGCAGGGAACAAGGAAAGCTCACCCGAAGCTAAACACCTGAAACCAAATGGAGCAGAATTTTTGTGAGAGTCACACAAATTTTAACTTTCTGTATTTCCATATAACATGAACAGGATCATACAAAATCACAATTATTATTGCACAAAGTGGGAGACAATGACCTAGTGGTATTATTGCTAGATTATTAATCCAGAAACTTGGCTAATGTTCTGGGGACATGGGTTCAAATTCCGCCATGGCAGATGATGCATTTTCAATTCAATAAAAATCTGGAATTAAGAGTCTAACGATGACCATCAATCCATTGTTGATCGTTGGAAAAACCCATCTGATTCACAAATGTTCTGTAGGGAAGGAAACTGCAATCCTTACTTGGTCTGGATTACATATGACTCCAGACCCACAGCAATTTACTCAAACACCGTCAACCATATAGGGATGGGCAATAAATGCTGATCTAGCCAGAGACACCCACAGCATGTTAGTAACTAAAAAAATCTCATTCAGCCCATTTCTTATGTGTAATTTCACTGCAATCGAGATGTCGATTTGAGTGAAGAAATGAAGTACAACTAGTGTACATTGAAAAGAAGCAGCACTATATTTTAATATAATGAATGCAGCACTCGTACCAACTTTTTTATCAAGTAAATACCACCATCGTTTCCTTCTTCATGAAAGTAGCGCAGCACTGTCCCTTTAAATGAAGCGATGCATTACTCACTGTCCCTTTAGTGGAGCAATGCAGCACATCACTGTCCCTTTAAAAGAAGCAATGCAGCAATCACATTCTCTATTAAAATGAAGCAACTTGGCTGTCACACTGGCTCTTTAAATGGAGCAATACAATAATCACACAGTCCCTTTAAATGCTGCAAGTAGCTCCTGCATGTAACCGCTGCACTGTCCCTTTAAATGATGCAAGTACCTGCTGCACTGTCCCTTTAAATGTTGCATGTAACTGCTGCACTGTCCCTTTAAATGTTGCATGTAACTGCAGCACTGTCCCTTTAAATGCTGCATGTTGCTGCTGCACTATCCCTTTCAATGCTGCAAGTAACTGCTGCACTGTTCCTTTAAACGCTGCATGAAACTGCAGCACTGTCCCTTTAAATGCTGCATGTAGCTGCTTCACTGTCCCTTTAAATCCCGCAAGTAACTGCTGCACTGTCTCTTTAAGGCGATGACGTGTTTGCATTGTGGCTACGTGGGGCTGCCACGTTTCCACGCAGGCGTACTAAACGCTGCCGGCTGTGGACGCCGTGTTTGCGGCAGTGCGCAGGCGTAGATACCGGCGGCCGGCCGCTGGGTGTTGGCGGTGCGCAGGCGCGGGTGCCGGCGGCCGGTGCTGTCTCGGGTGGGGACCGTTGGGCTAACATGAACTTCCTCCGCGGGGTAATGGGCGGCCAGAGCGCCGGGCCGCAGCCCAGCGGGGCCGAGACTGTGAGTATCTGCCTCCTAACACTGCTTCATAAACGGCTGACAGCGGCCCGGCACTTCCCTTTGCGGTCCAGGCCCGAAAAACCGGGGGCTAGGCCTCTGGCCTCGGCCTCGATTAGTCAGAGCGGCCGTGAGCTGAGAGCATATTGACGTGGAATAACTCTCCTGGAAGCACTGGGCAAAGGGGTAGATACTCCTTCCAGACATAAACAAATAATATATATACCGCTACACTGAAGGAACGCCGCGCTGTCGGAGGGTCAGCGCTGAGGGAGCGCCGCACTGTCGGAGGGTCGGTGCTGAGGGGGCGCCGCACTGTCG